CTCTCCACTTCAGCAGAAAATAGCGCCTTAAGAACGCCAATAGCTGGATCATCTGTAGATCACAATTATACATTCAATCAATAAGATGCAATAATTTCTGCAACTTGATTACTCCCACGATGCTGGAATTAAGCCATCGCGGACATGAACACTATGCATATCTCGTAGGTCAAGTCTGATAAACTAAATACAGGAAAATGTTGAGGAGCAAGACAGGTGCAAACCATGACGACTGTGTCCCCTGGGGCGACTACCTCGTAAAGACTGACAAAATGATGTTTAAATTAAAAGCCGATTGACCAATAAGTGCCCCAAATAGGACTATACTTAAAATTTTTTTAAAAAATCCACATACAAGCTATAACATACAAGCAATATACAAGCACATCAAGCAATAACCTCTTGATTCTCGAGTTTAACAAACGACTACTTCTGAATAAATATTACCGTCCAGGATATCCATTGTAGCATTAGAATCGGCCATAACTTCTAGCCTAGTCGCTGAAATTAATACTTAAAAAGGGAAAATGCAGTATAAATAAGCAGTGTGAGGCGGGCACCAGTAGTAATGTCGATGGTCGCTTCCCTCCAATGCATCCAAATTTTGCCTACACCGCCGGTTTCCTCTCGCGACGGTCATTTGTTCTTGTCGTTAAATGAACGTTGTTACCAACTTACTTGCAACGCTAATAATTCAAACTACAACGCGTCTTCCCTGAAAAAAAAAAGAAATAGACTGAATATTTTTTAAACCTTATGTTCTCTGATTTAAGTCTAAATAATTTTGATACACATCAGAAAATCGCCAGAAGGTAGGCTGTTGGCAATAGGTGCGTGCGACAAATGACAGACGACACGCCCGTTTCAAATCAAAGATGATATTTTAATTACCTCTATTCACTGGGTAACACTTTCACGTTTAATTTTTACAAAATTGTCCTTTTAAGGTATTTTTCTTCTAAATGTCTCCCTCTCAGCTCCCTCAAACTTCATTTTACTGAAAGGAAGGAAAAGGAACTGAAAACACCAAGTCATTTTGTTTTTTAATCATCACTTTTATGTATTAGAGACATTTTGTTAAACCTTGTTTTCCATTGACAAAATTTGTGCTTTTTTGCTTAGGTTCCATCCTTGTTGACACTCAAATGCAAAACAGAAATATTGGATTTGATTTCCAGAGGCAGTTGGTTTGGAATTTAGGAGACAAAAGTAATCTGCAGTTTGCTTATTTGTATCTACTATGCCTTTAGTTTCTGCACGACCAATAAATGTTTTGGCTTTTTGTTTTGTTACTAGGATTCTCATTTTATTGTTGGAAGTATCGGTAACTTGAAGATTTATTGCAACATGTACTTGTATAAGTATCAAAGTGTATAGTAGAAATAGTGATAAAATAAAATTCTCACCATCCCAGTTTTTTAACTGAGCTCTTAAAGTTTGAAAAATCTATTTGCAGTATTGCATTATTTTGTTTCTCTCAATAACCTTTCACTATGTAGCATAGGTGCCTCAAACTAAATTAAGAAATACACATCAGAAAACACATTCAAAGGCCTGAGCCTGCTAGCAGGCTTAACAGTGAGAAGTTGCTGAAGACCAAGCTGAAAATGAACCCTCTCAGACTGCTCAGAAGTTGATGGCATATACAGCTACTAGTTGTTAATTATACGCAACGAATAACAAATATATAAGCATACTGAGCCATGGCATTGCTCCAAGTGATGTTCAGATCCAAGTTATCTGACCTTCAATAACATTCTAATTTTACACTCATGCATACATTCCAATTAAAATGTGGGTAATAAAAGAGTAGGATTAGATTTTCATATTGAATACCAGGCACACCAGAGTGTTTCCATAATATTCTGTATGCACACGCTTCCATGGTATGATACCATCTCATTAAAATTGAAGCTTGCAAGGGGCATCAGACATTTTCCATAAATAGAACCAATTCAACCTTTGCCAGTTTAAACAGTTACAAAACTAGAAAAAAAAAGTCAGGATTGGGGCATGAGACTTGACTAAGAAAGCAGCTGGGAATGCTCAAAAGTTCTTGTTGCATCTGCTTAAAATTTGAAATCCATGGCATTGGCACACTAAAGATTTGGATACTTAAAAAAAAAGGGCAACATTAAAATTAGATAGCCTGTGTTCAAGCATTATGTTCCTCACGGCAGCTATAGGAAACCAGATTATTATTATTACAAATTTAGAACTCAAAACAAAAAAGGCAAAAGCTTTTACTGAAAGAAAAAGCATTAATATAAGCCTCACGACCAAAGCACCCCTGCAATTGACATTTTGTGACAAAAGATATTAACTTGACAGATAAATCTAAAATTTATTTTACATCAACTATACCAGTCCTCCGCTCAGAATGAATGAAAAATGCAAAGGTAAACAAAGTAACAGATGAGCTTCCTATGCATGAAACACTAAACATTGCGAACACGGCAGTGCAAAGAAACATAATCAATGAAGGGCTTCATTAAAAATTATAACAGAGAACAGTATCTTGACCGGTGTGAAATACAGCAATGCAGTCCAAGTAAGCAGATTAAGAAAGAGTATTGCATGAAACTGAGCGTACAAACTAATTTGTTACTGTCAAACACAAGATTGATAAAATGTTTTAAAATGTGTAATGGTTTGGCTCATTAACATTCAAACACTTGGTACATACAACATTAATTCACTGCCACTCAACCATCTGAAAGTTTATCCAAATTCAAGCTTCAGCAACTGCTCTATCATAAGCATTGTCAAAGGTATGAGCAGCAGCAACCAAGAAGCGCAGGATTGCTGCATCTCTGTCACCCGGGGGGTTTCTGATTGCTCGAAACAGGTTCCTGAGTCGATTGTCGAGAAAAATGGCTGACAGCCTGCGTCCTCTGTTTGGCTTGTCTCCTCCAATTAAGGCCATCACATCGGCATAAGCATTGGCCTCCATAGAGGCCAATCCATCTGCAACACCAGGAGAAAATTTAACAAAATGCTACGTAAACACAAACTTGCACCATAAGATAAGGCAAACATATGAGGCAAAAAGCCTTTGCAGCGCAGGAGGCTTACCAATGAAGTTATATGTGTTTGGATGGTCTACACCAACTAAGTTGGACAGCATCTTGTTATGACTCTCTGTGGGTGGACAAATTGATTTTTATAATCAGTGTTTAAAAAATGCAGCAAACCAACCAGAGTCCAGAATTACAACTATTGTCTCAGCCTGGCTGTAATCATATCATAATAACACTCACCTGAGGTGTTATTGGTGCGATGGAAAGATCCAAAGACACACATCCAGCGCCTGCGGATGGGATGGTAAACCCAGTATCGCCTAACGTAACCAATGAATGTTCTCATGTTCCGGTACACCCGCAAACCATGATCCATGGTTACCTGCACTACTATCCGAAAGCCCCTTCTGATATACCTTACTGGCAGCAGAGCCAAGGCAGAGAAGAGTTTCATCAGTTCAGAATAGGGCTCATCTCTCAACAGTCTGGTCATATTACATCTTTCCTTCGCATATCGAACTTCAGTCTAAAAAAAACCCAGACAAAATAGATATGCCACATTAAAAGTCAACAATTAATTGAACACATTGTTAAGACAAGGAAATGAAACTCACTTGAACTAGATGAAAGAAGCAGCCTTGTTGATGAACATCAGGAAATACAGTACCAAATGCCCTGCGCGTTGCTTGCTCAAAGTCAGTTATGATCCTTTGAAGGTTGGGTGCTCCTCGTAACATAAGTCGTATGGTTCTGAGAACAGCTTCATATGCTGCTGTTGTGCGCCGCTGCATCAAAACCCAACCTAGGGGTATGACTGTGTGGTCCCAATTACCCACTATAGAAAAAACCTAATGAACCAGAACGCAAATATCATTAGCACAAAGCCAAATATAAAGTAAATTAATCACATAAACAAAGTAATTGAGTACCTGAGAAGCTAGATCTAGTTGCTCTATAGCTGGCAGCACTTTGAAAGTTCCGTCTGCAAACAGAATGTTTAATGACTGTGCCACTAAAGCCATACGCCTCGACATGAAAATGATGTGATGGGAACCGTCAGCGGCCGTCACACTTCCAGCATATAGACTGTCTCGGGCATCATTGGTAGCCGATATGACTTGGTACCGCGGGTCTTGCAGAATGCCAGTGAGCTCCTGCAGGGTTGCTGGCGGAGGCGGATACATCCTGGACCTGGCCCGTTGCATCGCTGGTCGAATTTTCGACAGCCTTAGTCGTAACTGCACTTGTACAGGATACCTATATCAGCACACAGTTCAAATAATTGTGAGTAGTGGTAATCAGAACACGAAGTTTGAAACTAATCTGCTGCACTAATGACAAGGCTCACCCTCTGCTTTCTTGCACAAGAATTCTTCGAAATGACACAAATTCTAAACTCCTGCATCTTTGCAAGATTCTTCGGCGCAATTCTAAATACAAAGGGTAAAATCTGTCTCTTCTGTGGTTGTGATGACCAGTGTGAAGAAAACCCCTCCATCTGTCACACAAAGCCCGGCCAGAGCATTGTTTCTTCACACATTTTAAATACATCGTACCCTTCTTGAACACATTTCTCCTGTAATGCCATCCGTCTCCAACGTGGTAAAGCCATGAACGTGGCTGCGTGCCTCTGCATTTTCTAATTCTGTTGAGAGCCACCATGGTAAAATACTTGCAACGATACGAGCAGACGGAAAATAGATTCTTCTTCACGAAAGCAACAGTAGACTACCGATTGTCGATTGTTAAGCTGGAAGGTTAGCCAACGTTTAAAAACAAAAGCAATACAACGTTTTTACACGATGTTGAGTGCCTTGTTACCTCATCTTATGATTTGACAGCTATGTGCCAGTGAAACTATTTTGTTCAACTTCAGAACTTCAAATATTTGCTTTAATAATTATTTTATATGACTTCCGGCATTCCCTTCCACTGTTGCCATATTTACAGGTGGGTAGGTTGTTCAAACTGGCCAGCCCCCTTCTGGCTCCGGTTTGGAAATTTGATCAGTTCGTTGCGTGCCTGCGCCGAGAGCGAACGCCATAACCGTTTTTTCTTTGCGTGCCTGCTAGAGAAGTGTTGTCGGCCGGCCATGGACCCGCCACGCCATATCGTCACCACAGGCTTCACCACGCCGCAGCCACCCGTCTACATATTCACCGCACCGCCACCACAGCCACCATGTGGAGTGCCGCCGCCGTTCGCCTATCATCCACCTCCAACTCCAACGCCGTACTTTTCTGTGCCTCCACCAACCCTAAGTGTTCCGCCGCCTACCTATCCCTCCTGGACTGTGGAGGAGACTACCACAACCACAGTCCGTCGAGTGATGGTGTGTACTCTTAGTATTGAAAATTCTTTCCTGGGCCCATAGCGCATGTCTCCATTGGTTTGATGCTAATCTAGTTGGTAACCTCTTGGGTACTCTTGGAAGGCAAACTGGAAATTCTTGTAGTAGCCCCACAATGGCCGTGGGCGGACCCAGCTTCAGGGGGCACTTCTCTTTCGGAGAATGTATTTATTTCGACGAAAATTGTGACATCATGGTGAATTTGTAGCGAATTTATGGGATAGGGGCTAAACCAGACGTTACAGAGCCCTGATCCGACGGCTGAGGCCTGAAGCCCGTGTTCCGCGGCCATTGTGGGACCACCTTAAACCCTTTGTTTTTTTTTTCGGTTTTTCCACAGACCTTTGGCGCTGCCCCACCCCCGCTTGCTCAAGGGTGGACCGTCCCACCACCGCTTGCTCAAGGTTGGACCGCCACTCCCCCGCTCAGAGCTGCACCTGCAACTCTAGTCACAGAGGTAAGCAAAGTGAAGTTCTTAGAATGAAATCGAAGTCCTTCACATTGCTTGACTTAATCTTTTATTAGTTTTCACTCTTAATGGCAGTTAAATGTTAAGGCGTACTTATTGCCTGTTTGTTGGACTGTGGTGAAAGGACAAAATTAATGTAAACCTTCTTGTACTCAAAATTGATGGGGATTTTGGCTCCTACTGAGTGTTAAAGTTCATCTCTGAGGGAAAAAGATATCTTGATATAAATATTCCAGTATATAGTGATTTTCACTGTAATCTTAATTTCTGGTTGACTTAATTTCGTTTGAAATATGTAATGTTGTGTGTTGTCCTAATGTTGCGGTTCCCTCCCTATCACAACTTTGGTATGTCCTTTGTTTCAGATAACAGATGTGACCAATGAGGCAGAGGCAGAGCCAGTCTTAGCTTCCCACATTGTAGCTGCTTCCACACCTGCCTCAGAGGGCACATCAGAGGCAGGCGGCGCTGTCTCAATGGGCACATCACAGGCAGGCGGAGCTGTCTCAATGGGCACATCACAGGCAGGCGGAGCTGTCTCAATGGGCACATCACAGGCAGGCGGAGCTGTCTCAAAGGGCACATCACAGGCAGGCGGAGCTGTCTCAATGGGCACATCACAGGCAGGCGGAGCTGTCTCAATGGGCACATCACAGGCAGGCGGAGCTGTCTCAATGGCCACATCACAGGCAGGCGGAGCTGTCTCAATGGGCACATCACAGGCAGGCGGAGCTGTCTCAACTGCCCACGTTGCTGTGGCAAGTGTAGCTCCCACAGCTGGGCACAGGGCTGTGCGGGCATCAGCACGCCTTGCCCGACCAGCTGGGCCGTCCAAACCAGAACCAGCAGAACCTGTAGCTGGACCCTCCAGGCCGTCGACGAGGTCCTCGTCCAAGCGGGACCCAATCGACAAACTCCACGATGAGATTGACGCTGTAAGATTTATCAGCTGATTTTCTTGTCACTTAATGTGCGACAATTTTTTGTAACTGAAACTTTATTGCAGATGTTAACGTCTTATCCGGGAAATGCAAGGGATGCCCCCAAGAAAAAGAAGGTATTATTCACAATTTATTTTTTTATTCACTGCTTGGGTTGCTGCGACTATAATCTCTTCTAATATTGAATATTCTGTTTCAGGTTAAATTTATTGACTCTGACTCATCAGATGAGGATGAGTTGGAACCTGCAAAACGTAAGTATAATTTCAAGTACTCTTGCAATTATTCTTTAGCAAAACCATTATCAGAACATTTTTAAGAGCACACAAATTAGTGGTGTGATTAGTTTTATTTTGCCTTATTCATTTTTAAACACGCAATGTTCAGCTATGTTTATAATCTTCATTATTTTATGCTCCAATGAAATGGTTTGCATCTTTCGATTACTCTTTAAAAATCGTTTGGGTTTCTATTTTTATTTTTGCATTGCAACAGCAGTATTGAAACATTGCGACAGCCCAATAGTCATTACTGATACGGACGACTCTCATCCGGGCAGTTCAGAAGAATCTGATGTGGTATGCCTCTCTGATAGCCCTTCGTTCAACATAGATATTTTGACATTTTCAAAAATTAACCTCATAGTTTCAGAAACATTAGCCTGACAGTCTGATGATGATCCAAATGATCTGATAAAACCTTACTTAACAATTGCCTTTCTGTTGCCAGGACGAAAGTGAGGATAAGAGGGTTCCACGCGAAGAGGAATTGAAAGCAGATATCTGCTGCATAGAACTGGAGGAGCTAAACAGGGAATCAGAAATTATGAGGTGCTACCCATGCACCTGTGCAAAAGCATGTGTAGAACATGCCGTGGGATGGTTGAAAGACAATCGCACTTGCTATCACTGCCGCACACCAATCACTGATTGCGAAGCAGTGCCTAATTATTATAGGTTCTAGATTGTGTTTTCTTCCGTTACTACAGTAATTATATTGCACCATGCTCTTAGTACCAGTCATTTGGGGCAAGTAATTTTTGTTTTTATTTTAATTGGTGTCTTCTTATTTTCTTAAATAGCAGAATTTTTCTTATCAAAGGTTTTTGTAAAATAATTTTTCTGTGCTCTATTGGTTTCCCTGTTCAAGAACTATTTGCATTCGCAGTTACATAAACCAAATATGTTGGTACCTTAACATTTTATGGTTATAAAAAAGTTTCGGAAAGCTCTTCTTTGGGGCGGGTAATTTTTGTGGGCCTTGCCTTTTATTGTCCTTGGTAGGCTTGTTCAATCAAGTGGCTTTTGTTTTTCAAATATAATTTTTAGTGTTATATGAGGAAAGATTCAAATTGTGAATTGTTGCTCTGTTCAGAGGAATTGAAAGCAGATCGTGTTTTCTTCCGTTACTTCAGTAATTATATTGCACCATGCTCTTAGTACCAGTCATTTGGGGCAAGTAATTTTTGTTTTTATTTTAATTGGTGTCTTCTTATTTTCTTAAATAGCAGAATTTTTCTTATCAAAGGTTTTTGTAAAATAATTTTTCTGTGCTCTATTGGTTTCCCTGTTCAAGAACTATTTGCATTCGCAGTTACATAAACCAAATATGTTGGTACCTTAACATTTTATGGTTATAAAAAAGTTTCGGAAAGCTCTTCTTTGGGGCGGGTAATTTTTGTGGGCCTTGCCTTTTATTGTCCTTGGTAGGCTTGTTCAATCAAGTGGCTTTTTTTTTCAAATATAATTTTTAGTGTTATATGAGGAAAGATTCAAATTGTGAATTGTTGCTCTGTTCAGTAAGAACCACAGTTCAGAACCGCAGTTATTTTTTGTTTCATTTTTTATGTTTTGTATTTTAATAGTTGACTCAGAACAGTAATAAAATGTTTGCGATCATGAGTATTATTTTATTTTCTTTTACATTTGCCAAAAAATGGTAGATCAACTCTATTTGTAGCAGGTGTGATTGCACTAGGCAAAATCTCACGCCATGTAGATCTTCATTTATTAATTCATCACTTATCGGTTGCTGTCTCAAAGTCTTCAAAAGTGGGAGGGACAAACCGGTGGTGTGAACCAGGAAATAAATGATCACATATACTGTAGAGAAGTTACGATATTGATTTATGCTGGCACATCAAGTACTCCATCAAAGCACCAAAAACAAAGCAACAGAATACAATAAAAGAAATACTAAAAAACAATACATACAGTGACAGTCCAAAGGCCGGAAAAGGAAAGAATATGAAATGAGTTTTGTTAAAGTATCATTATGATGGAAGGGAGGGCTCTTATTCCACCCCACTAGTTGGCTCACACTAACATCACCACCACCCTTACACACACAGTTAATTTCAGTTTTCTGATATTTGTTTCAAACCAGATTGGAAGGCAGCATCACTTTGTCCATCTATGATAAACAACAAGTGGTTTAGGGCCTGGCAAGCAGTCATTAATACCACATTTGGTTTGCATCTGTAGAGACCAATAAAAGCACTCATTTTGTTGCTTATGAAAAGGACTGAAATACTACAAGAGTGATACATGAGGCATGAACCAAAATAAAAGTTGCAACTGATACAAGAAAAGAACTCATAATGAAAAATATTGACACAATCTGCTGATTGCTGATATCACTCAGGTGAGCTTGCAATAATTTAAATTCAGTACCATAAGACTGGAATAAAAATGACTAAGGATAAGGAAAGACAGAGGCATGAAATGACCAATCGTCACTGAAACACATCTTACACATCAAACACCGTGTTCAACCAAAGAAATAAGGAAAGGCTAAATTGCGAGTTTTGGAAGTTAAATGCCACTACCAAACAGCATTAAAATTTCATGGCTAATTTAAAGAAAACATGCCCAATGTTGCCATTCCACAGGCATTTTGTCTGATGTTTAAACACCATGTAAAAGTACAGGTAATTTAAAAATAAAGAAAAAGACTTACAATGTCAAACAAACCACAAATAAAGCAACAACAAAGAATATCAAAGAGCAAAGAAAGACTATTGCTTTCTCAATGACATACGACTTTGTCCTCCAAATTTGTAAAGTTAATTAATTAATTATTTCATTCATTCATTCGTCCATTTATTCACTAATGGATGTCAAACTAGAGGGAGAGCTGGTTGAATCATGAATCGAGGAAGAAGCAGTACCACTTAAAAATATTTTCACTCTGCATTGCAATGTGAGTATCGCTTGTATTTGAAACACTTAATTCCCATAAAAGTTATACTTAGACAAGGCAGGGAGCAATACATACAGTGCTTAAGTACAGAGGCATAGCAAAGGCACAGAGAAAATAGAAACATAAGTCATTTTGCTAAAGGAATTGAATCTCACTACCCCACTAGTTAAGTTCAGTTCAATGATTCCTGCTTGAAGCCAGAAATATAACAGGAGTAATACATGAGGACTGAATTAAGATGAACCGTAATTTAACATGCACATCAAATACTAAATATATCCAAAAGTCAGATACAAAACTGACAAAGTCTGTTCTAAAAATGCTATCTTACAAATAGCCCTCCTGGGAAACAAACCAAATGAACCCATGCTCATTCCTGGGAAGTTACTACTGTCGCTCAAACTCTGAGGGCAAACTTTCACAAAAAAATCTTTAAAACGGTTGCATTACCAGTATGAAATTCAAGTTTCCCATTAATAGTCTTGTCATCTGATTTAAAGAAAAACCAAGCAAGGAGCTTTGAACTAAATGAAGACTACAGTTGCTAAAGAAATAAACCATTGTTCAGTATAAACAATTTTATCTGAAATTGAGTGTCTTTGCCAGGAAAAATTGTCAACTCCCCTAGAATAATTAAAACAAAAGAGATTATTACTAAGTCTTTATCTGCCCCAAGTTCAACAGAGTCAGGAGGTCCTGGGCAGCAAGATAAGACAGAGAGACAAAAAATTTGACAATGTGACATGGGCACTCACCCAGCCAATGTTAAGAAACCATCTTTAGGACTATCTCAGGCCACATCAGAACAATATGATACGCCTCGATACACTAATATGATCCAATACAGTTTGTACTTTGCTCTCTTATATCTCAAGTAAATAGTTGTGATTACTGTAATCAAAACCCACTAGCACTTACATTCAAACAAAAGGAACGTGGTTTGTTTAAATATTTAGATATGGACTACACTATGTGGGGAAAATGTCACTGTGGAAGCAGCCGAGCAAAGCCGTTGGAGGAGAAGAAGCCTGAAGCAGTCCCGAAGCGTTGTCATCTCTTTTTTGAACATGATCCAGACTACACGATCCAGCTCCAGAAAGTTTCGATAGCCTTTGACAAACCCTGAGAGAAGAAAAAGTTACAAATAAAAATATTACCTAAAATCGAAAAAGAATAATATTACAGACACAATGAAACAAACCTTATGGCAAAGTTGTCAGGGTTATTGATGTGACGAGTTGGAGTAGACTTGGTGGAATCACAACACTCAAGCGAACAGATTCAGCACTCCCCTTGCAGCCACCTGCAATAAGAAACAGAATGAATCCATTCGATTGTTCATACTTGAAAACAGAAATTGTACGCTTCGAATGAATGTGAAGCAAATATAGCAGCTTCTGACTTGCCACATAATATCTTTATGAATACATATTGAATGATCATGCGTATGATATTGCATGCAGGGGAAAATAAAGAAAACCTAACTATTTCTACATTGCCAGAACAGTGAAAAATTCACCATGAACGAACCTAACCTAAGATGGATATTTGTTTCAACGAAGTATCAGACTATTAAGCTGAACGATTGAAGGGCAGAACGGCAGAACGGCAGAACTAGCAACACGAACTCAACAATGCGCAGTGGCAAAGTAGCTGCCGGCGACTCGTTCAAACTGCATTTTCGTTACCAATTATTAAAAACTTTCTCCCTTCACTTCGGCTGCTCGGCGTTGTTTTTGTTTTTTAGTTTTTGGTGTGCCGACCGAAGAGATTGCACAAGTGTCCGCCACAAAAAGTGGGGCGCGCTGAGAGCGTTCCGGCCGCCGACGTAGTTCTACCGGCGGCCACCACACAAAGATAGAGCGCGCAGCGGACGCTACCTACGACGAGTGCGAAGGGTTGCCTACCTGTAGGGCGCTGGAGGCTTTCCCGCAGCTCTGGCGCCTGGGCACGCATTGGGGAGTAAGCTGGTGAACTGACGACGAATATCTCGGGATGGCGTGTCGTCCGTTCATGTAGTGCCGCCAGAGCTCAGTAAAAATGTCCCCTGCAACAGAGTGGTTGTGAAAAGCATCGCAGAAATGTCCGATAGGGGGGGCGAATACGAACTGAAACGGCATGAGTGGTTGTGGGGGAGAGGAGTAAATACGTTTCTCTTTGCTAGTTATGCGGTTTTCGAGCCCGCAACGTGGAGTCCGCGGTTCAAAGGCCATCAGCAGAGAGAAGCAGTAGTTTCCTCCCCGGAATTCCCTGGACCAACTACGCCTCAGCCCGCGCGCGAGTGCATTGAGCGTGTACGACGCAGACGGGGCCAACAGGTGCGTTTCTGTCAGATGGCATGCGCTCCAAAAAGTGCAGTCGAAAGCGAGAAAAAGTGGCGAGACTGTAAGCCGATAAGTTTAATGACGCTTTCTGACACGATCGAGTCGGAATAGTTCCTACCTCGTTGGAGCGCCCCGCGAAGATTGTCTACCTCTCGGGCGCTTTCAGGCGCGCAGTCTGATTTCGTAGGGGAGGCAACGGAACGAATGTTGAACGCCGATACCTACGATTTGCTGGTGCGGTCGCTGGACTGGCCACGCTCTGGGGATCAGACCAAGACTGCGATGGCTCGAAATCCGAAGCCGCTCCAGAGACCTCCCTTCCGGCGCTCACACTGACAAGCTGGTGGCAAGTACCGGGCAGTTCGCGCGCCGTCCTCTGAAACAGTGTACAGGGTTCTGAAAGCATCGCGGTAAACATCGAGTGCGAAGAAGCAGTGCGAAAGAGAAACAACGGTGCAAAGCCTCAGCGGGGCTGCATGCAGGCAGGGTGATAAACCCAATTTCTCTTTGCACGGGATTCGAGCCGCGGACTGCAGAGTAAGTTACGTCCATTCTGCAGTCCGCGGCTCAGAGACCGTCCTTAGAGAGTAGCGGTGTACCCCATTCCCAGGCTTCCCTCTCGGGCCCACAGCAGCAGTGCACCTAATGCACCCGGTGCATTGAGGGTGCATGCCACATGCAGACCCGACGTAAGGTTGAACGTCCTGTGTTCAGCACCACGAAAGGCGAATAGCGCAAAAAGCACACTGGGCACATCGGATGCGGTTTACCTTGGCGGCTGCAGGCGGGTCGAATGCGTGCGAACTCAAACAGTCGTTTTGCCAGGGCGGAACTCACCTGCACTCCTGCTCCCACTGACGCACCGCGAGCCCCCGAGGCACAAGCAGCCCTCCGGTGCATCAGAAGGCTGTCTTGCAGCCCAGGGGCTTGAACGCGGATGCGCGGGGAGAGGAGTACCCGTACCCGTACCCAACCGCGATTACGAGACCATGCGGACGAACCACTACTCTGAAGGGAGCCCATCCTGCACACACTGCAAGAAAAAGACCGCAACAAAAGTACACAAATTCCTGCCAAATTATTTAACAGGAATTTATTGTACTTTCAAAGTACAGCAATTGTTGTACAAAGTACAATGGGAAACCCGGGATGACGAGTGCTGTGCAGTCCAGGCCTCGTGGTTCGTACAATTCTCGTTGTACTTTCTACAATCTCCGTTGTACTTTTTTGTACAGTTTTTGTTTTACTTGCAGTGCATGAGCAGCATTGTGCGCATCGCTCTCACCTGCTACTGCTTCATTGATACGAAGATACACATGGGAAGAGGTGAGCTGTATTAACAACACTATCATCACTGCAGCAATAAAGTGCGCAGCGCGCACCGCACGCACGCATGCATGCATGTTTCAGGACCAGACCACAACACCTCGCCGCCAATGGGGTGGCGATGATGGTTCACTGCTCTAGCGCCAAAGCGCCGAGCGGTTGGACTTCCCCCATTCCTCCCGACAACGCCTTGCGCAGTCCGTGTGACGGAGCAGGACAGGTCCGGCGGGGCGTCGACCGACAGAGGAGTCTACTCTCGCTACTCTAGCACGGCCTGAACGGCCACTTCGGCTTGCAGGCGTCGGTGCCTTCGGGCAGCGGGGCCACAGCACGTCGACCGTGGCCTCGGCAAAGGAGTTTACTCTAGACCGTCGTTTACTGCATGCTTTACATTAGCGAATGACGGAGGCGGAGTGCGTGTCACGTCTGTTGGTCGAGGGACTTCCCCCTGAATCCGCGACGGCCACCCACCGCCTGGCTGCGGCCGCAACCGCGACCGCGGCGGCCGAATCACCACTGCCACTACTACCGGCGCGCGTCCGGGAGCGTGTCGCATTCGCATTAGTCCCTGCTGCAACGACGCCGAAGACGACATGGCCTCTGGTCGGGACCACGTTCATTGGCCGACTCAGAGGCCTAAGGGAGCTCAGCGCTGCCGCGCAGAGCGCCGTGCACCGCTCTGCAGCAACGCCGTGGCTCCCTGCAGCGGGCTACGACGACGCCCCTCCTGGACAACGGCTTTGTTCAGGTCCTGGAGCGCCGTGAGGCGAGGCGCGGCAGCCACCTGCAGGCCGCCGAACACGCCCTCCTAGCTCACGGCCTTGCGGGCCACCGCTCCTTACCTATAACCTGTGCGCCCTCCTGGACAACGGCTTTGTTCAGGTCCTGGAGCGCCGTGAGGCGAGGCGCGGCAGCCACCTGCAGGCCGCCGAACACGCCCTCCTAGCTCACGGCCTTGCGGGCCACCGCTCCTTACCTAACCTGTGCGCCCTCCTGGACAACGGCTGGTCAGCTCATAAGGCACCTCAAAACGTGGCGTGCGCGGAGGGTCGCAATAAGTCCCAGCGGCGAGGACCGCAACGACGCTGATCCTCAGGGCGCGCACGCCTCCACGCACGTGGAGTGGAATGCTGGTTCCCGGCACTGCGGCCGCCTAGGCGTCCCGGCTTGGAGGGGAAGACCAGCCGACATCGCCTCCCCTAGGGCACGGGAGACGGAGATCACGAACTCGGCCCTGGCCACCTCCACTAAGGTTGGGGCGGGATGACGCCCAGCGGCCGTTTGGAGGTCGCATAAGACGCTCTCCTGGATGACAACCTTGCGGGCCGCGCCAGCGATAACGAGCGGACGCGTGGCGGCCGCTTGCAGCCCTGGCTCGCGGCCTGGCGGACGGCGCAGCAGCAATCAATATTTTTAAACAATATTTTAAACAATATTTTTATTCAACATTTTTATTTAATATTTTTATTCAATATTTTTATTCAATATTTTTATTCAATATTTTTATTCAATATTTTTATTCAATATATTTATTATTTTTTGTTAGATGCAATTTTTAGAACGGCATTTATATTTAAAATCAATATTTCTAATGAATATTTTTATGTTTAACGTTAGTCGCTTTTTTTAAAACAGCAAGTTTATTAAAAATATTAATATTTTATTGGTAGACGCTTTTTTGGTAGACACAATGATGCCATCTCCTGGAATCCTATGCACTGAAAAAATAGGCAACACAGTTAATTTGTTAATTTGATTTTTTTGTACTTTTTAGTAAAGGTACTGACTGTAGAAAAAAATTTAAATTGATGAACCAAAATTTACCTCGGTGAAACGTGATTGTGTTACCTATGCATACCTAGTAATTAACTGCAGTGCAATTGTGATATTGTTACCCTATGCATACTAAGTAATGTAACTGCACTACAATTGTGATTTTGGAACCCTATGCATACAAAGTAATATAACTGTAGTACAATTGAGATTTTATTTGGCTTACCTCCATACCCAAATTCTTCTGTGTGTCTTGATATAAACATGAGAAGGGCAGCAACATGACTGCATTTCCCAAAAACCTCTGCTTGCAGAAACATGTTGAATCTCGCCACTGCCTGATATCTTTTTAATGGTAACAGTAGTGAAGTAAGTCCTGCACTTCATTGAGGCTTGAATTCTTGCTTTCACAAAGTAAAAATTTTTTTGTCTGGCAGTCCAGTACTTGTAGAATATGGTCACTGTACAGGAACCTTTTCCCCTTCATAGGGGTGTTGGTTTTACCAACATTGTCAGCCATATCTTGACTAAATACTTCCCCTTCATCATCAGAAAAGTCAAAAGCTGAGGTCCAGTTTGGGGGGGTTTTTAATCAAAACATGGGCATGACCCCAATTTTATAGGTGTGGAATGTCCACGCTGGGAAAAGCCCCCCTCCCAAAATAGGTAGAATTGGCGGCTTAACAGTTGGATTTGTTTAAAATTTGAAAAGAGTACAAAAAGTATTTAGTTCATTACTAAAAAAATTTACAGGGCAGTTTTGTTTTCTGAAGGAAGTAATTTTTTTTACCGCTGCCTCCAATGCTCTCTTCTTCTTCTTATACCATTGAATTTGTCAATCGATGGATCAAAAATTTTTGTTGATTATTAGCCACTCTAATTTTAAAACTGTGAATTGTAATGGTACAGTTTAAGTTGTATTCATGCTCACTTCTTTTGTGCGTTTGTTTCTAATAATTACCTTTCAAAAATTCTGCCTTTGAAAAATCGGATGTTGGTGCACCTCTGCACCTAAGCCAACGAACAAGCTGCTTCTTTGTCACTTGCTTCTCCGTGATGGGGAAGGCAGTATAGCTCCAGGAACATCGTTCTCTGTCAGCAGTGGATCAAACTTCATCAATTAATATCTTCTGCGGCTGCCAACTGAAGAAAGCATCCAAAATTTAAAACAAAAAACTTTGCCAGTAACTGGATTAAATTTTTTTTTAGATACCTGTTCAGTTAGATCATCTGGTGTGGAAAGGGACCCATACAGGCGTTTTGTCCTCGGAGCAATTGCCTGAACTATCTTCTTTTCCGAGGCAGGTTGTACAACGGACTGCCTTTCATTACTTTTGGGTTATTTCTTCAATACTGGAGGTGGTTTCTCTGTCATATTGTTATTTTCAGGAGTCACACGGACATAGGCACACATGTACAACTTACTTTTAATGCTGTCATTGCAAATTAGTTGTCCCAATTTTATGGATCGAACCTGTATATATGCAAAGAGAGGTAATGTAGTTACAAAAGTAAGTACCCTTATAAACCATATTCTTGATGATTACTAACAGATGAGTCGTTGTATTGGAACCAGTATGGACCGCTTTTAGCAATGGTTTGGTAATGCTGCCTGTCCTTTAACACAAGACCATGGAGATCATACTTGGCCCCTCCAAACTCGACAAAAAGGTCTATGTTAGGTGACCCAAAAAGATCTTCAATTTTCAAAATGAGTACATTTGGCGCATGCTCAATACTCTGAATTATCATCAACTCCTTGAGACATTTGTCACAAGTGATGAACTGCACCATGTTATACTCATCTATGCCTTGCTGAACTGAAGTGCTGTTGGAATCAAGATGGATTGGATACATGGTGTTTTTATGCAAGTTTTGGGTGAAATTACCACAGCTTGAGCAATTTTCTGTAACAAGAGAAAACCTTGGAATTTATCTAGCCTTGGAAACTATGTAAGTGACAAATGGCACAGATAAATTGACTTACCTATGACTCTGATGACTCCACCCAAAATTTGATGAATTCCTTCCATTTCCTCGTCAATTGTGTCAATGACATCAGACAAGAAAAGACAAGCATTGCCTTCATGGTCTCCAGATTCAAAACCTGCAAAATGGATCACTTGTAAGAGGTAGTTCCAATATGGAGAAAAATAAACACACATCATTATCATTATTACAGGAGGCCAACAAGCACAACAAAAACTGGGACCTGCATCTACTTTATGGGATCTGAATAAGAAAAACAAGGGACCCATCACCTACATTACTTACACTTGATGCGAGACTTTAGGAGTTCCACATCTACTATCTGTTTGGACATCTGATCGTATATTTCTAAGATGGCCTTGGTGACAAAGCCCTCACCAGGCTCTGACACCCTCAGCCACTCCACAAATGGGGATAAATTTAACAGCAACTAATAATCACACAGAACAGCAAAACAAAGACATTCACAGTGCAATAGGAATCATAATTTTACAGTGAAACGCCTCTGTTTGAACTTAAATTTATCGAAAGTATGGGTTCTACGTTTGTATGTGTATGTGTATGTGTATGTATATTTACCTCAAATGTGGCACAGGCAAATCCAAGCCTGTTGTGATTTGCAAAACCATAATTAGGAGGTTTGCACTTTACCTCCCTCTTGACAGATGACTGAGGGTCATCTTCCAGTTCTTCTTCTGAACAAATCATCTGTGAAATAACGTACAATCCATGAATCCCCCACAATGAGAGTGAAGCGGTGGAATTAAACTTTAAGAGATTGTAGGTCGTTTTGACTGTCATGGTTTTGGTGACGGTCAAAATAATTTTAAAAGGGGGTCATTAACAAAGGAAAACAAAGGTTATGTCCTGCATTTCAGAGTACTTCACTTCTGAATTGTCAATAACGTACCATTTTCAGTTCTTCACTTAAATAATTCGCGTGAATAATCTAATATTTTAACGCTGCGACGATTATCAAACACTCAAGAACCTATCTTTGGCGTTGGTCGTTTTGTTTGGCGCGATCCGCTACAGCTACTAGTAAACAAATGCAAGTGGCACGACGATTTCTCATACCGAAGCCGCGCGGCGCTCGCGCATGCGCAGAAGCGCTTTTCTTCTTCGTGCTGTTCTTCTTCCTTCGTTCTCTGGAATAGCTTATACTTCGATTACCGAACCACTAATCGAGGGTTTGAAATAATCGGACGATTAACAAAATAATCGCGATTATTTTCGATTAATCGATGAATCGCCCAGGCCTACGGAAAGGTTGAAAAGGTGCATAACAACACAATTAGTATTTGAGAAACGGGAAACTACTTAATAGGGTTTTTGACAAAATATGTCGAACATTGACAAGTTGACCCTAGTGCAAGCAATGAAATGCAGATTTGGCCGATTATTCTCTCTGGGTTCTTAGATCATACACAGACAAAAACGTTTGCAAAAGGGCGTTGTTTATAGTTTTCCCATCTTCGGTCCAGACTTCAATTTATCAAAAATCGAAATTTCACGGGGTAACTTGGGACAGTCTGCCCTGTACAGCTTGTTGGTGCTGCCATTCAGCGACGGGGATTCCGAGCGTCAAACCCGCGGCAGGGTTTTGTTTCAGAGGCCTCAGGGCACGCGCGGAAAGGTTGAAAAGGTGCATAACAACACAATTAGTATTTGAGAAACGGGAAACTACTTAATAGGGTTTTTGACAAAATATGTCGAACATTGACTAGTTATTGACCCTAGTGCAAGCAATGAAATGCAGATTTGGCCGATTATTCTCTCTGGGTTCTTAGATCATACACAGACAAAAACGTTTGCAAAAGGGCGTTGTTTATAGTTTTCCCATCTTCGGTCCAGACTTCAATTTATCAAAAATCGAAATTTCACGGGGTAACTTGGGACAGTCTGCCCTGTACAGCTTGTTGGTGCTGCCATTCAGCGACGGGGATTCCGAGCGTCAAACCCGCGGCAGGGTTTTGTTTCAGAGGCCTCAGGGCACGCGCGGGAAAAGGGTTTAAAAGGTGCATAACAACACAATTAGTATTTGAGAAACGGGAAACTACTTAATAGGGTTTTGACAAAATATGTCGAACATTGACTAGTTATTGACCCTAGTGCAAGCAATGAAATGCAGATTTGGCCGATTATTCTCTCTGGGTTCTTAGATCATACACAGACAAAAACGTTTGCAAAAGGGCGTTGTTTATAGTTTTCCCATCTTCGGGCCAGACTTCAATTTATCAAAAATCGAAATTTCACGGGGTAACTTGGGACAGTCTGCCCTGTACAGCTTGTTGGTGCTGCCATTCAGCGACGGGGATTCCGAGCGTCAAACCCGCGGCAGGGTTTTGTTTCAGAGGCCTCAGGGCACGCGCGGAAAGGTTGAAAAGGTGCATAACAACACAATTAGTATTTGAGAAACGGGAAACTACTTAATAGGGTTTTGACAAAATATGTCGAACATTGACTAGTTATTGACCCTAGTGCAAGCAATGAAATGCAGATTTGGCCGATTATTTTCTCTGGGTTCTTAGATCATACACAGACAAAAACGTTTGCAAAAGGGCGTTGTTTATAGTTTTCCCATCTTCGGTCCAGACTTCAATTTATCAAAAATCGAAATTTCACGGGGTAACTTGGGACAGTCTGCCCTGTACAGCTTGTTGGTGCTGCCATTCAGCGACGGGGATTCCGAGCGTCAAACCCGCGGCAGGGTTTTGTTTCAGAGGCCTCAGGGCACGCGCGGAAAGGTTGAAAAGGTGCATAACAACACAATTAGTATTTGAGAAACGGGAAACTACTTAATAGGGTTTTGACAAAATATGTCGAACATTGACTAGTTATTGACCCTAGTGCAAGCAATGAAATGCAGATTTGGCCGATTATTCTCTCTGGGTTCTTAGATCATACACCACTGTTAAAAAAAAGTCGAAATTTTCAGACTTTTTAGGATGAAGTCAATTTTGAAACCCAGTGGTCTGAATTTTCAGACCCCCGGACACCCTGAATTTTTGGACCACCTGTCGTCTGAATTTTCAGACTAGCAAGTACTTTGAATTTTACGACTACCAGGTAGTCTGAATTTTCGGACTAATGGCAGTCTGAATTTTTCACCTCGCGTGTTTGAATTCTAAGCCGCCCAGGTAATAAAATTACCACTTTTGTCAGGATGTATATTATGTTTTGGAGATGCATGTTTTAAATTGCTGAGAAACATGGAATGCATGCACTAAATAGAGCAGTTGTAAAACAGCTCTTGTTGTTAAATGTAGCACCCAAAGTTGCGCAAAACTTTAACTGGATATGATATTTTGCTGAGAGAGCTTCCCAAAAAAAAAACTAGTCCTCGAATGTAAGTCTCCAGAAGATGCAGCTGTAAACACTGGAAAGCAGCATGTTGGATCCAGATGCACACTTCGTGGAAACTTTTTCGGCACGATGAAAATACTTTGGGGACGAGGATGAAAGAGGAGTGACAAATTTCCAAAACGCCACCCACTCGCTCATCACCCGTCCCTTTAGTTTGGAAGACGCAATATCAGTATAAGGCTACGCCACTTTCACAGCCTGCTTGCCGCGGATTTCGGATGCTTCAGAGTGGTGACTGCTCGCACTCATAAGCAATTTTGGAGCACGGAAAGGCGAAGGCAAAACGGCACTGTACACACTGTGCTGAGCGCCGAACACATAAAACGTTGCTTGACGACGGAGCGTCACAAGAAAGATGACACGCGACGCGGACTTGTATTCGGATGCGATGTGCACTGCTCTGGAGACAAGCTAAAACTGACGCATAGTGTCCAGAAATCCCGAGTGGCCGAGGGATTAAGGGCCCCCTCCTCTCCCCCCGCCCCGCGCAGGTAGGCTTCGGCCGGCACGCCGGTCAGCGGTGATTTTCCGAACGCCCCGGCTCGGCTCGGTGTGCCTGGCTCGGCTGGCCGCCGCCGGAGCGGCTCGGCTCGGGTGACCTGGGCTTCGGTCCAGGCCGGAACCAGGGCAAACGTGTCGCATCCTGCAGCTACCAGTGGAGTGCAGGCTGATTTTAAACTCTACACTAGACGGCCGTTCGCTTAGCTGAGCAAAAGTCTTTTTACTACTGCTCTAGCAATTCAGGGTCCATAGCACCTGAAACGCAGTCATGCCTTTTATCAGAAAATAAAGCGTCAATTTCAGACTGCGCAGGATGAAAATTCAGACCTTCTACTACAAGTGACAGTTTCAAGACCCCGACGCCGAAAATTTATACCGCGCCATCCAAATATTCAGACTCTTGAGTCCGAAACTCATTTTTCAGACCACAAGGTGTAAAATTAAGACCAACTGTCTGAAAATTCTGACTCAAGTCTGAATTTCAGATTCAGACCACTAGGTCTGAAAAAATTGGTCTGAAATTTCAGACTTTTTTTAACAGTGACAAAAACGTTTGCAAAAGGGCGTTGTTTATAGTTTTCCCATCTTCGGTCCAGACTTCAATTTATCAAAAATCGAAATTTCACGAGGTAACTTGGGACAGTCTTTTCCTCTTGTTTCCAGCAGTCCTAGCCTCCGAAGTGTTGACTGACCCGGTCCCTGACATAACTTAAACTTCGGATTTTACGCTGATGATGGAAAGAGATGCCTTGCTCTGCAGTTTTGTCTTCTGGTGATCCACATTTTGAAATTTTCAGAAAATGCCTGGAAAATACCAGTAGAGAGTTCCACCTAGAGCCCTAGATATAGTCCAATATCGGTCTTACAAGAGTTCCTAGGCCTGAATTCTTGGTCTACATGTTGTGACTTAAATAATTTATTACGTCCATTAACATCAATAGATGCATGGGAACGTAGCTAATTACCTACTGTCCCAAGTTACCCCCGGTCACGGGGTAACTTGGGACACTCTTTCGAGACCGCTTGGAAACGATGTAATCGAGGCAAATGAACCAGACAAGCATGAAATCATGGGGAAAGGGTCAAACTTTAACATAGTTAGGATCCAATGGTCTAGGTTGAGAATCTTGCCTCTGGCGTTAAAAAAACGTGAAAAAGTGTCCCAAGTTACCCCCGTTGACGGTAGGGGTAAAAACACCAAAAGACACGAAAAATCATAAAATTTCGGAAAAACTCAAATGCGCCATGTTGATGTAAATGATTCCGCCCTTGTGTTCGGTTGAATTGGAAGTATCGGGCAATCTACTAGGCCTAATGCACCCCAAATTTTGTGCTCTTTTCATCTGTGCAAAACGTTTTGCAATCAACGGGCTAGGTCTTACAATCGAAGCAAAATAAGTAACCCCTGCACCTCGCTCAAGCATGGCTTCACGCACTTCCTAGGGCGTTGCCGCCCCCTGACTCAGCGCACTAAGTGACGCTACACTGATGTCGTTTGGATTCTCATTTACTTACAGCAGCTGCGAACAGCGCGAAGCAAAGGACGATGACGATCTTGGAGGCCATGGCTAGAGGTCTGGACGGAAGGTCGATGCTGTCACCGAGTTTGCGTGGCGCTTTTATACCTCAGCGACTTCGCTACACCCGTCCCAGAATGGCGTCGCATTGCTGAGGCGAATGTCAACAACAGACAGGTGTCTTTGGTGCCTTCCAAGAGTGCCGCCTCATTTCGAAGAAACAGGTGGCGTTTCCTGCGAATTGATAGTCATCGTCGCAGGCGGGGGATTCCGCTCGTGTACTGTTATTCGAATACCCACTGTCTGTGCAAAATAAGAACTAAACTGCTTTGACATGTTGAAGCCCCTCTTAAAATTTCAATGAAAATTGAAACTAAATTTCGCTTGAATATTATTAGAAGTTTCCTTAAAATGTCTACTTTAATGTTTAAAATACTCTTGTTTTTTTTTTTACACCGCACCGTCCTTATTGCGTTCACGCCACATCGGCGTGACCCAACCGTCATGTGGTTTTCCGCTGTGACTTTCCACTGTCACGCTGATTTTGACGCGGGCGCGGCATTTTGTCATGTCATGATTTGGCCATGTATCGAACGATTCAAGTTTCAGTTACCGCGTAACAGCACAAGATAATCTAAAAAAAAAAATTGTTTGAAACTTCAATTTTAAACCTCTATTTCAGATTAAAAGCCCATTCTAGTCAATCTATGACACTACAAGGGATGAGCGTCGCTGATTTCCCCCCCCCCCAAATCTGATCAAGTATGCGAACAAAGTCTTGCAAAAACCAAAATTTTCAACGATTCTACTAAATTTTTCAAAAAATGTCTTTGTCATTTTACTTTATGTCAAAATGAAGATTCCTCAATTATCTAAAAGGTTTTTAATACAGAAATCATAAAATTTTGATCCTACTGCAGCACAAAAATGTCTTGAGAAAGTGCTTTTAACATATGTATGAGCCCCCTTCACGCTCCTGTTGATTTCACGCTCCTGGAATGAGAAGGTGACAAAATCCTTCTTTGTAGCTTCAAAGAAAACTGCGGCCTCGCAGCCAGCGAAGGAATACGTAAGTGAGACAACGAATGATTGCAATTCAAAGGCAAAAACCTTCGTAATCCACTAAGAACCTCTCCTTATGGTGGGAAGGATATCCTTTTTAATGCCATCAAAATTGTTTCAACAAGATACGATGTCGTTCGAGGCTGCGAAGCCACCGTTTTAAGTAGTAGCACAAGGATCGTTTTGGTAGAGTTCAAGTGTGTTGGTTCCCAGCACTTTTGAACAGGACTGGGGTCACATCAGGGGCGGCGTGGGGCCTTCGTGGCTCTGAAATAAGGAGGGAGACTCGTCTTTAACACCAACATATAACGCTTACATAAGAAACTGCAGGTTCTTCAGCAGTTACAAGAGAGTAAAATTCAATACGAGTCGAGAATGTGTCCGAACGATTGGTTATTTTGTGCAAAGCTTATTCACGAAATTGTGCATAGTAATCTAGAAATGATTTCCAATGTATCTGTTGTTACATATGACATGACCGATGCATTATACGAGTAGTGGGCCCATCGACGTTCGTTTCCGGCGTTTGTTATCTCTCTTTTACTTCGCTGAAGCCGAGAGCAATGTCTGTCGCGTGACACCACTCAGCCAGTTTCCGGAGTTGAGCCGATAGAGTGCAGTTGGCAATCGTTTTCTGGGTAGTACATAAAAATGGCGCACTCCGGAACCTCTGCTCGGATACTAGTCGTCCCACTCTCATGGAAGCGCTGCCGCCAGTGCCCTAAGCGCTCGCAAGACCTTACGCTTGAGGCAAAGCGTTCGAAACGAATCCTCCGACTTCCCCCCATGCACGTATAGATGAGCTGGAGAGGAAGTGAAACTACCGCTACGCTCGAGCAAAGGCGTAAGCGCGCATTTTAGTTGAACGATGCAGATTTGAAGTTTATTTTTGAAAGAAAAGAAAGCAGACTGCATTTGTGTCTGTGGTAGGTACGCCATGACGTCGCTGTGGCCTTCCTCGCCTTCCTCCGAAGCGTCGGCACTCGTACTGCTGCTGGCGTTTGGACACGTTCAGAGCAAACAGATCAACACCTTTGCTGTAACGTTACGACCCCACTGTTAAAATTTGCTGTCACTTCATAACAAAATAACGGCATACAGGACATGAGCCCCGTCCCGTTTGAGCCCGGATGGTCTGAGCCCCGACCTGAGCCCCAACCTGAGCCCGGTTGAGCCCCGACTTGAGCCCCGACCCAAGCCCCAATTTTCAGAGCCCGGATTGAGCCCCGACCTGAGCCCCGTTTGAGCCCCGTTTGAGCCCCGTTTGAGCCCCATTTGAGCCCCATTTGAGCCCCGCGACCTGAAATCACGCATTTTTGCATGATTTGTTGCCACGGGGCTCAAATGGGGCTCAAACGGGGCTCAGATCGGGGCTCAATCCGGGCTCTGAAAATTGGGGCTTGGGTCGGGGCTCAAGTCGGGGCTCAACCCGGGCTCAGGTTGGGGCTCAGGTCGGGGCTCAGACCATCGGGGCTCAAACGGGACGGGGCTCATGTCCTGTATGCCAAAATAACGTTGTAACAAAATGATATTTGCATCAAAGCTCCTAGGCGCCACAACTTCACTCCCAGACTTGTTACTGACTTTTAGGACGTGGAATTTACATTTTCTGTGTGCCTCTATGCACACTATTTGAAGCAGTGTGCCTGCAGGCACACACTTTAAAGCAGTGTGCAGTGCATGGAGGCATACATTTTAAAGTGTGTGCCATGCACGCACACATGCGTTTGCCGAGTGAATAATATTGTACATGGTTACTAAGGAAATACTACATATTATTGCTGCTTACAAAACTAAGTAAGCAAGGGATAAAAAGTCAATAATTGAAGGAGAAAAGTCAAAACGAGTCTGAGAGTGTAGAAACACGAAACACCAAATTTTGGAGTGCATCACTGGGAGAGAAAGTCCTGTTAAAGAAGAATCTATAGTTAGATACTAGATAGTATTAATACTATCCGCATCTCCTAAAATACTGCGACGGACAATCAAAGTATTTCAAGGTGTAGTGGTGGTTTCTATAGTGTGCACCTGGCCCAGACCCAAAAGAAATTTCGCACCAGTATCAGCCACGGATGTACACACTAAATTCTTATGGACTTTTTTATGCATAGTTATGCATGCTCAGAAACGTCCATATGTTATGTATAATATTATGCATCACTGTGTGCATTTTATGCAGGAAGACGCATAAAATGTACACAGTGATGCATATTTTTTTACATACTTTATGGACGTTTCTGCGCATGCATAACTGCATAAAAAATGCGTCCTTATGCATTTAAAAAGTCCATAAGAATTTAGTGTGTAGCCAGAGCATTTCACGGGCATTTCCATGGACGTGCAACCTGTTGAGCATTGTTTCGTGTAAAAAAAAGGTGAAACTACGTCACCAGTCACTACCAGAAAACAAAATGAATTGTCCCACAGGGCCCGTACATAGCCTATGGCGTGCAGCCTATTTGCTGTCCATCAGAGAACGAACAGTTTTCCCTCCGGCTGAGCCACTTCAACCCTCAACGGCCATACGACCCTCAGATGATTTCGGGGTATTTGACATTCAAAGAAGATTTTGGGGACGGTTACATGGTAGGTGGTAAAGTTGAGGTTCTAAGAGCGAGCTGATTGCCCACTCCAAATGTCTTGCGGCGCAATTTCCCATAATACGAAGAAAAGAGCGCTGGTTGGTCCCCGCCTTGCCGATGATGTCCTGCAGCTCGGCCGGCCATGGTGAGGGAGGTGCTGCAGGACATCTACAGGCCATCCACAAGGTGGCAGTGCTGTGTTGAAAGTTCTCGAGTTAAATATTATTTTGTAAGGCATTTCATTTCATAAGCGACCTTTTCAATATTTATTTTGTTGTTTTTATGTGCTGATCAAATCTTTTACGTTACACTGTAAAAATTAACGTCCGGAATAAACGACGGATCCTTCGGCAAAAAAAAACTGCCAACGGTTCCTTCGTTAATTTACGAAGATCTTCGTATCTTTACAAAAACCTTCGTTAATTTTTTGAACGATCACTGTCGATTTTACAATCAGAATGGAAATTTACGTAGCACCTTCGTAAATCTACAAAGATCCTCCTTCATAAATTTACAGGGAACCTTCGTTAATAAACAAAGAACATTCGTTCGTATACAGAGAACCTCCGTAATAGTACGTCTGGAATTAACGACGGATCCTTCGGCAAAAAAAATGCCAACCGTTCCTTCGTTTATTTACGAAGGTCCGCCTTAGATTTACGAAGACCCGTCGTAGATTAACGAAGCCCGTCGTAAATTTACGAAGCCCTTCGTTAATTTACAACAGACCTTGTACATTTACGATTTTTCTTCGTAAATTTACTAAGAACCTTCGTAAATGAACGACAAACTTCCGTTATGATTTACAAAAGTTCCTGTAGGAAAGAAACAGTCAAAGTGCACTTTCGGACATTCCCAAAAACCTTCGGAAAATATTCCGTCGTAAATTATCACAACATAATTTTTACAGTGTTGTTAATTTTAGGATATCAATAACAGACACTTCGTTACTAACTTTTGTGAGACATAAAAATTCTCCAAAGCCATCCCATACGCCACGAATACATCTTCACGATATAAAAATGTATTAAAAGTATACTAATAACACGTGTGTATTCCAGACAAGTGTCGCGATAGACAAACGATCAAACAACCAATGGAAGGAAAACTTCTTTCTCATGAAGTTTAGCAACATGGGGTGCTCCGCGATGCGCAACCAAATTCCAGACCTGTACCGCATCTTCGTAGAGACTACTGGGGCACCAAAGAGCAAGAAGGTGCCTTGCGTCATTCGAGCGGTGCGTGTTAACCGTGCATGCTCAGTAGTGAGGGCTCTAAGCGACAGATTTCGCTTAAACCTTACACTTTCTGACTTCGGTCTGGCGCTATGTACGAGTGTTCTAGACACCCAAAATAACGATTTCAGAGTTGGAGGCACTCGGGGGAACGCTGCAGAGACGACTGCGAAACGAAAATCTACTTTTTCTAGGTTAAATTCCTATGAAACACCTAAAAATTATCTGAAATCGCAGCTGCATGCGTGTATCTTGTTTTCGACCCTTTTCTGTCTTCCTAGCACGGCAGGAACGGTACCTGTTTTTCCCAGGAAGCATATGGTGAAGACAGGCGATTTCCAGGGGGTTCCTGGAAAAACTAGGTAACGTTTTTACCGTGAGCTTAACAAACTCCGCTTTAACATCGACCTTCAGTAACCAAAACGTAGAAGAGTTTTATTGTGTCAGTGAAGAAATATCTTCGAGAGTGCACACCAAAATTAGCGTGAATGCTTTCGAGGTCGAGGTTGCTCAAAGTTCCAAGTAATTTCTTTTGATGAATGTTGTATAGTTGATGCTTGTTTTCTGGGGCCGATCACTCATCGAAACTAATACAGTTGACACTAAACGCATCCTAAGAGAAGTATCATAATTTTTTGTGCTGCGCGAGAAATATTGTATGACTTTGAGTCATACTTTGAGCTCTGAGCCACCTCAAAGACATTCACGCTAATTTTGATGTGCACGTGCACATTTCTCAAAGATACATATTTCCCCAATGGCACAAACATTTTTCCCGCGAAAAAGTGTTGAGACAAATTTAAGCCAAAGAGGAGCGAAATCGCCGATTGTCCACTTCAAATGGTCCGGATATGCTCAAATCTTCAGTGAAAATAGTAAAATTGAGCAACTTTGAGAGCCCGTAGCGTCCAAACCTGACTTCGTAGAGCCTCGCGCGGGCATTCGAAAGAGCGCATTTTTTTTCTTTCGGAAAAAACCACAATGGTAGATATTTTGGGCCGCGGGTTCCGAGATCCCAAGAAGCCCCAAACACTCAAAAACGGCCATTTTTAGTTCTGTTTTTTTACCTCTACAATAAAGCTAATCAGTGGATACCGGCCCTTAGTGTTTCGGCAATTAGTATTCACGTGAGGAACTAAAAAAAACCGGATGGGAGCCAAATCGAGGGGTCCTATTCAAAAGATCTTATGTGGGCGTTCCCCCCAAGAGAATCTTATCTTAAACGCAGGCAAATTTCACTCAGTTTGATCATTTGATACAGCTACAAATCAAAATAATTTGTGATTTAATCACTGAAATGTGAAGATGAATGATCAAAGAAACCAATACTGCGTGTAGAAATATATTCCGCTTACTCTCTTATCCGTCACAAAATGAGCGAAATTCGCCTGCATGTAAGATTAGATTGTCTTGGGCGGAACGCCCAGATAAGATTCTTTGAATAGGACCCCTCGAAATCTGAGGGGTCCCCGGCCAAGTGTTCATTTATTTGTCTGGAGCTGCTCAGAACAATCTGAACACGTACACCCAGAAAAAAGGTGTCTTGAATCAAGTCGGGCTGGCCTTGAAACAAGGCTAAATGGGCCTTGATTGCTTCAAGGCCAGAAAAGACTTGAATTAAGTCAGATATTGCCTTGTTTCGTCTTGTCGTGGGTCAAGTCATTTCCGACTTAAAACAAGTCCACGAGAAGCCTGAAACAAGTCATTTTTTGTTGTTTCAGGCACGATGGAGCCTTGATAGCGACACAGTGTTCAAGGTTTTTTAGACTTGAAATTTCTCACATCTGTTCTTAGTCTATCATGGCCTTGTTCCGTTAGGGCTTGTTTCAAGAAATTTGACTTGAAGCAGCCAAGGCTATGGTTGACTTGAATATAGAGCCTGCGGTGAAATACGCGTCTGGGATTATTTCCGGTCGTTAAGCCCTTAAATACCATCACCCGCTAGATCTTGGCCACACAGTAATTGAAATGGCAGACTCTGTGACGATTCCTTTCAGAAAACGAAAGGAAATATGGCTGAATTAGATGGTCACCACAGAAACGACTTTGGCGCCTTGTCACCGCCCGACGTGGTTCCGCCAGCTGCCGCAAGAGCGCGCTGCGCGCGTTGTGCTGCCGTCCGCTCGCGGGGCCAGCCCCGGTCGCCACTTAGGGTAGTTCGGAAGTAGGGCCGCGCGAGGACGGGGTGCGACAGGACCCCCTTGCATCGGTCGTGTAGTGACATGATGAACATGTTTCTGGGAATCAGCAGCAAGAATTTCGGTTCAAGTCTAGCGCGTACTTGTTTTCGACCAGTCTTGAAACAAGTAGGAGTGACTTGAATCAAGCCTAAATTTCAAGTCAAAAAAATCAAGTCTTTTACTAAACTTGATTCAAGAAACCATTTTTCTGGGTGTAGATGCCAAGTACTTGAGATATGCCGGTTTTAAATGCCACTTTTCCTGCATTAGTTCTTGTGTCTTACGGTCCTCGAGTTGCAAAATTCAAAGTGCTCTTCATTTTTGGCCCGTCCCGTTTATTTTTTGTAAAAAAATGACGGAGGGACGGGCATATAGTATGATGCATGCTGTGCGTCCGTTCGTTCGTTCGTTCGTTCGTTCGTTCGTCCGTTCGTTCGTCCGAGGACTTCCCGCGGTCCGATCTTGACCAAATTTGGTATGCAGCCTCCTTGGGTGACCCTAAGAACCGCCCGGTGGCAGCAAATCCGATCCGAGCCCCGGGGGCGCTGCTGCAGGTGCATCATGGTCTACATGGGGTCGAGGAGGATCTCGGCAACGGATGCAGCTAGGAGGGCATGTAGGGGTATTTTTGGAATCGGGGCGACGAGAGAAAACCAATGGTGCCAGTTTCGAGCAAATCGGAGAAGTTCGGACCCGGGTTCAAATCCCAGCGGGGTATTTTTGGAACATTCTTTTTATTCGAGTTTTTGCATTGTTTCTGATGTTTTGGAGGGTGCTGATGACGAAAACGACTTTTATTTTAACCCCAGACTCAGATTTAATTCCCGTCAGGGTCAAACATAGGAGAAATTCGTACGTTTCTTAATGTACGGGACGGGCCAAAGTTGCCGATGTATATCGCTACTTTTCCTGTTATTTTCACATTCCGCTGACAGGGACACTACATCTGGAAGAACGAATCTGTGAACTGGAATTTCCCAACGTCCCAATCGTGCCCTACGGACACTACCGGTTCCGGCTGCGCTGCGCTGCGAATGACACTGGCAAAGTCCACATGTGCGTGGAAGTCGATGGCCACGCCATCCCGAAGCCATAGAGGTGGCCCAACCGCACTACTAATATGGAACTAAGACTCATTGTTTTTCATACAACCTTCATTGGCCTTCGTTCAGAATTGCTCTCAATAACCAGGAGAACATCACGGGTGGCATAACCTAGCTATGAGTTGCATATCCGCTTATAACCGGGACATCCTTAGACGATTTACACAACTGACAATAAAAATCGCCGATGGCAAGGCTATAGTTAAGTCGTCAGCGATGAAAAGGAGAAGATGGTGGGTAAGCTGGGCACCACAACGAGGTTTTAAGACGGAAAGAAGACACGAGAAATCCCCGCTGCAGGCAAACAATCCCTGACTACGGTATTTTTTAGACTCGTGAGCTTGAGCTCATGCGCAGAGCAGAAAGGAAAAATCCGTGAACTGCGATTCGGTAGCATGCGATCACACGAGCTGTTTACATGCATTTTAAGTAGTCTTATGGCTTTCGCCTGTTTCGTGTGGCGGTTTAAGAGCGCGTTCGTGAGGCAGCGATCACGACTTTGTGCTTAACTGGCCTATTAAAGGGCGGCGGTGTGAACAAAACCATAGTCTGTCCCTCACTTCGAGCTGAACCATGAACTTCGCATTTGCTTTGGTCGTTGTAGCTGCGCTGGTGGTAAGTAAAATCGTCGTGTACCGTCAACGGGGGTAACTTGGGACACTTTTTCACGTTTTTTGAACGCCAGAGGCAAGATTCTCAACCCAGACCAATGGATCCTAACTATGTTAAAGTTTGACCCTTTCCCCATGATTTCATGCTCGTCTGGTTCATTTGCCTCGATTATATCGTTTACAAGCGGTCTCGAAAGAGTGTCCCAAGTTACCCCATGACCGGGGGTAACTTCGGACAGTAGGTAATTAGCTACTTCCGATGCGTCTATTGATGTTAAGGGATGAAATAAATTTAAGTCAAAACATGTAGACCAAGAATTCAGACCTAGGAACTCTTGTAGGACCGATATTTGACTATATCTGGGGCTCTGCGTGGAACTCACTTTTCTACGGGCTTTTTCCAAGCATTTTCTGAAAATTTCAAAATATGGATTACAAGAAGAAAAAACTGCAGAGAAAGGCATCTCTTTCCATCATCAGCGTAAAATCCGACTTTTAAGTTACGTCAAGACCGGGTCAGTCAACTCCAAGGAGGCTACGACTGCGGGAAACATGGGGAAAAGACTGCCCCAAAGTTACCCGTAAAATTTCGATTTTTGATAAATTGAAGTCGGGGCCGAAGATGGGAAAACTACAATCAACGCCCTTTTGCGAACGTTATTGTCTGTGTATGATCTAAAAACCCCAGAGAGACAAACCCGGGCCCAAAATCTGCATTTCAATCCTTGCACTAGGGTAAACTTGTAAATGTTTGAATATTTTGTCAAAACCCCTATTATGTACTTTCCCGTTTTCAAATACAAATTTGTGATGTTAGGCCCCTTTTTTCACCTTTCCGCGCGTGCCCTGAGGCCTCTGAAGCAAAACCCTGTTGGGGTATGACGCTATGAACCCCCGTCGCTGAATGGCAGCAGCAAAAGCCGAAAGGGCAGACGTCCCAAGTTACCCCCCCGGTGTCCCAAGCACTCCCGGTGCCCCAAGTTACTTCCGTTGACGGTTCATATGGACGTCACATTCGTTGGAGAGAAGAGCGTGTAGGCAAAAGGTGCCCCACAAAAAAGTCACAGAACTGTCTGTCCTTTTATGTGAGTTCATTTCAAGGGTTAGCAACCAAGCGGGCGAACGTACACTACTTCATGTCAAAACTCCTTTTTGACTTTTTTATCTTTTCTGACTTTCTGCGACTGTTTTGCCTTGGAACTTTTCTTGACTTTTTGACTTTTTAATGACTTTTTTACATTTCAATGACTTTTGACTTTTGAAATAACTATTTTTTGAAATAAAATATGCCACCAGCGTTCACCGAATTTTGGCATTTAAAAGAGGCTGTTTTGTGACCTTTGTGTGACTTTATAGGGGTTTCTGTTACTTCTTGACTTTTGAGACCTTTCGATTTTCAGTGACCCTTTAAATGACTTTTCGCCAGCTTACACCGATTTTCGCCGGTTCATTTGGGGCGAGTGGGGGCATTTTCCCTAACCCGTGTTCATTTCTGAATACTTTTTCCTTTCTGAAGGGCAAAAATTTTAAAAGGGGGTACTTTCGTCTGTTCAGGCCTTCCTGGCTCCAGCCACGACTCACGCCCCGATCCCCCAAGTGGAGAAACGCTCCTCCCACGACTTCTTCAAAGCCCCGGGCAGCCCTACGTGGCGGGGCTCTAAGCCAGTGGCCCGGGGGCCAGCAAGTCGACCACACAGTGTCGCACGACGGGAAGGTTTCGACCGAGGGATGGCTTTCCAAGGGCGGAAACTCGCCCAAGCGAAATGGTCAGCCCAGCTCTGGCGGCGAAGCCAGCACTTCCAAGAAGGGAAAGAAGAAGGGACACTAAAGCAGCTGTGCTAATCGTTTCACGGGCTCTGACCACTCTAGAAAAATAAACTGGGTGGCTTATACATCGTGGTTACTTCAATCGACTACCTTCATAATACCTACACTTGCCACAGGGATGGGAACGCCAAGATTTGGCGATCTGGAGAGAGCGCCAAATTTGTGGCGAGTAAACTTGCCGCAGGAATTGCAGTGATTCCAGGTTGACCGGTGGGTTATACCACATTCGCTATTTGCTGTCGCTTTATTGAAAGCAAGCTCTGGTCAGGCCCGTATGCTGCACGTTTGCAGCACGCGCATAGACCATGTCCTTTGCTCTCCATCCCAAAGAGCAGAAAAAGGTCCCGATGATGTCAAATGACTAATGACAAGATGACATCATTGCCGACGGTCCAAGTTTTTTGACGTCAACGGCACGCAAATTGATATCCTTTTAATAAATATGGTATTTTATGATGTGAATTGGCCACAAAATACCTAGTCAAAATCTAGTCATGAGGGGCCACTGATGCAGATCGTGACTCAATTTTATCAATATGAGCTCACTTGACGTCAATGTGATGTTTTTTCTGTTCTCTGGGACAGTGCAAAACCTGACGGTCGCTGATCACTATCATGCATGTGAAAGCCTGGAGTCCATTGAAACTCGTGAGCGCATTACAAAGCCTATACAGTACCACTCCACACGGAAAAGTAGTAGTGCTTCGGGCGCGGTCCTGATCGGCGTGCAGTAGCGAACAAGGCACTCAGCGTCGGTAGGGGGAAACTTTGGGTTAAGGACCCGGAAATATGCAACTTCCTTTTTAAAGGGGGAACCCAAGGAAAGGGGTTTGTGGGCTCGGTTTTAAAGGTTCAAAGGGAAAGGGGGAAGAAAATTTCCTTGGGCATGGGCCAATCAGATCGGCCCCCCCCTTCCCCCCTCGGTAAAAAAATTTGTCCCAATTCTTGAAAATTTTAATCCGAAAAAGTATTTTTTAGGGCCCCTTTTTTGTTTTCAAAGAATTTTTCCTTTAAAGAC